CAATACCCACTGATCTGCAGAGACGAAATTGGAAGAATGCTTGTAATTCTGTTCAGGCTAAGTATGAGGTCTGCAGACAACTGACTTTCCTAAAAAAAAAATAGATTGTTTTATTTTCAGAGGTTGCAGTCTATATGAGAAAGCACATATGAATTGAAGATAAAAAAATCTGCCGGCGTTCTAGACAGTGAATTATAATCTAAGGATTATAAGCAGATTTAAAATGTGAGGCAAAGTAAAAAATAAAAAAATAGAAGAATTTTGGCCTACCGTGAGATAAGAATTCCGTTTCTGTTTATCGTAAAGTGCAATTTAGTGGGATAACAGAGGAAGTGAATCACAGCACTGAAAGAGATTGGAGTATTTGAAGCTAAAATCAAGAGAACTAAAGGTAACGACAGTAACTGTAATCCGTCACAGAATCTGATTAACGTAAAACGTTATTGCGCCTAGTAAAACAGGTTAGCGGGTACAGCTCACATCCCTCCAGACAAGCATTAAAATGATTAATTTTTGTCTTCCAATTTTATTTTAAAAGGGTGAATTGAAAATCTGGTTTTACATACCGCAATAAATTACACCGATAAAAAATTGCAAACCCAACTGTCTTCCTTTTTCGATTTCGTACAACCCTAATCCTTGACCCAATATGCACCAATTCTGATCAATGTCCCTCACCAATCCATTTTTTCAATCCATAAAAAAATAAATAAAAAGCTGAAAACCGTACAAAGACAAGAAGACAGATCGTAAGAAATGTAGATCTGTGCATAAATCGAGCAAATACACGCGCGTTACCGTGAATAACATGCAATCATATAGTACACCGATGTAACACAATTGACTCGACCATGTTCTCTTTCTTCGTTCCTTAAGCTGCATATCAAGTCATAGATTGACCATTATTGATCTTGTTCTAAACACTGCTTGTCCAGATAAATACCACACGCTAAAGAAAACAACCCGGTGTTATGGAAAACACATATCAAAAGCCACCGAGATCGCTGTTAACGAAACACAGATGGATGAGAACTTCGATCATTCGCACGGCACACCGTTCAATGCTGATCGTATCTACAAACACATGAGACCGGTCCCATGGATTCCAGCTAGGATGTTGGTCCGGGGTACACTCATTCAACTCCCAATCACAACGCGACAATCGGAGAAATGAGCTGAGAACAACACAATACAGCAAACAAAATTTGATTCTAGTGAGACATATTTACTCCAAAAAATTGAACTAAACTTCTCGGGTACACCGTTCGGGGATAGACAGTGGCAGAGGTTAGAACAGTCGACCGAGTCGAACGCCGCTTTCAAGTAGAGGAAGGTAGAGATGGTGGGTTTATGAAAAGAATGCGGGCTATTAGTATAAAGAGATGGTAATATACGGCAACCAAAACGGAAGTACCAAAGTGCATGGTTAATGATTATACAAGTGATTTGGACTCCCATACATTGAATATGATTGACTATATCGGAAGAAGTTACGAATAACAGCTTCAACTCTAAACATGTGTATTTAGTACGTGATCTAGATCACTTTAGTAGACACGTTTGGGGAAGAGAATGTGAACCAGGTGATTTACGTACATCTAATCAGTATTTTTCAACACACAGGGTACAGCGCGGAAAGCTTCTTATAGGTAAGACGAAACGAGTTCACCATAACCCGCGAACGGTTTTATTCAACAAGGTATGAACATACCGTGCTTATCATCACCCTAATTACTTCGCGGTTCAACCAAGTTGGATGATGTTCACGAACGCGATCGGACAGGTGCCTGCTTATGGGACTAATATCCCTAGTATTATGGGAAAAATGAATGAGTATACCCAGAAAGGGACTAAAGAATCGGGCACCATATTCTTCAATCGGTAAGTCTGATTCGGACACTCGAAAGCCTAGAGCCTGATGTATGTCGCCTCTCGGAAACACGCATTCAAGATTTCGAGTTGTGTAATCCGATCAGAGTCTCCTCTAACCCAAAGAAAGCCTTTTATCTGCATCTTTCTAGGGACGAGGATCCGTGTAAGTATCGCTTTGAGCTTCAGGGTTCCAGTAGGCAAGTGAGGTCCAACAAGTACTATAGATGCTACCGGCAAAGGAGATGGACTCAGACGCTATGTCCGGCAGTACATGGAGGCTGTTCCAACTCATCACGCTACTGGCCCCAGAAGATGGTGTGCTTGTGCAACAACGTGCGAAGTAGATGGCACGTCGTTATACTGTCTTCATGGACGCTTGGATCGCTTACCAGAACAATTCGAATTTCAGTTTAACCGTCCTCTCACGCTGGCTACCCAAACAGTTCCCTGACAGGGCGTCTTGGTTACCATGCAAGGAACCACGCACACCAAGCAACAAAACGCCACGAGGCGTCTGAGTCAAACAAATAACCGTTGTCCCTTTTCAAGAATGGTGAAGAATTTCACGTGAAATCTTGTCAAACTATCTTCCAAGCTCTGGAGAGGGAGGGGAGTAGAAATAAATTGTACCATCAACACGGATTAATCGATTGTTACGCCTAGTTTTAAGAGGGGTGTTTGTTTCACTGATAAAGGAAAATGTCTGATTGCAATAAAGCCGAAACTGTTAGCGGCAGTTTTATTACATATATTGATTCTGATTTGTAAAGAGCAGGCCTGAGCATTGTTCAAGCCGTTGTTGCAGAGGTCGAATTCTCACCCTCTGCTAACTGTTGGAAGGCCACCACACATACTGGAGACAAATAATTGTTGAGGTTTTGGACATACAAGTGACTTTCGACCTCATTGAACTCCCTACCCTGTAAACTTGTTTTCTGATATGCAGAGTTCTCGAGAAGCATGTTCTGACCCTACTGTAAGACCTTAGGAAAAGTTAGAGTTTACTGTGAACTCTCACTTTCGCTTCCGGCCACCTGTAGAGTACCACAGCTTTTCCTTGTTTCCCAGTTTCTCTTCAATTTCGCCAAAGACGATGTCCTGCAAAAAGCGTTGCTCAACCTAACGAACTCTGGCAACAACTTTCTTTCCGGAGACAGCATGCAGATGGCATTGTCTAATTCGGTGAACCAATACACGCTAAACAGTTTGATAATCGAACTTTCGCCATATTTTTTACGCTTGGCGCCTTCGAAGTGCAAGATGGTATTACGGGATTCGCATAAGCTCACTACTGCCCCTTTGGTGAGTAATGATATTCTAGAATGGACTAAAGGTTTACAATTCGTAACCTAGCTGCTGCCCATTCTACAATACACTCAACTAAAGTTGAAGGCAGAGAAGTTCAACGTGATCAATACTATGATATGAAAATTTGGGTCACAGGAATCCGATGCGAATTGCAGTCCCCAGTAGTTCAGTTATGCAAATCTAATGAGGTCAATATGGAGGAGTCGAATTACAATCCAGAAGCGAGCATCATATTTGGGTAGTATTTTGGACGATTAAAGCACAGATGTTGAGTGAATTTCACCTCATTGGATGACGCATGGAAGATATGAGTATTATCATACCACAGAACAGGAGCGGTTTGGTGACGATATTCTGGAGATCTGTGTCTGATATTTTTTGCTTTTTGACAGTATAAAATCACTCACTGATATATGTTGAGTAGTCATCCTCTTCAATACTTGCTAGTAACGCATGAAGTTTATGAGGAACGACTCCGGTAATCTTGTTACATAATCCACCATGGTGAATCCAGAATGAAAACTCTTCACTTGGCAGGCTATGAAGAGGAACAGTTCAGGTGCTTCATTATTGTTAATAGACTCCAGTCGACCCAGGAAGGGTGAACTAAATTCCATTGAACAGGAACTGATTTCAACTATACAGGTATTGGTGACCAGGTACCGTAAGTTGTAAAATTTGAAACATGATTCGGCTATCGTGAAACACTCAAAAGGCATACACGTACGTTTTTACGTTATAACAAATTTGGTCTCTAAATTGATCCTGAGAAATTAGATTGAAGAACAATCACCGTCAGACAGGTCTCGTTCGGAGACCCCGAGATTGGGTTACCCAATAGCGAAAAACATTGGGTGAAATGACTGAGTATCTTGATCAGTAGAACCCATGCATCTACTCTTTGTTTTTGCGCACCTAGTTCACCGGAAGTCTGTAGCTGTACCTTTTATCAGCCTTTATCTCTACCTTCATTGATGAACCAGACGGATATCCAATAGGGATCAACCGGATCTAGAGAACAGTGTAAGGTTAACGGCTGTACAACAGTCTAACTGTAGATACGCTTGTAGTTATGCTGAAAAGTAGTGAGAGATTCCTTTAAAGGAAGGTCATCTAATGGATAATAAAAGAGTTCTCCATGGATAGAGTGAACAGAATCCAGATTACCAAACGGTTGTTTACGCATAAAAACATTAGGTCAAATAAAATCTCTGACAGAGAACAATGTAAGCCTGTCATTCGGTCTTCGCACAAACAGTTGATCAGAACTGTTTGGATCATTTTAAAGGTGAATATACAGATTTGTGAGGACAGTAACACCCCATAGGCTTTAGCTAATAGGTTACTCAACCTGATGTACTATTATTGTAAATAAAGGAGTTGAAAGATGAAATTAAACGTATTCTTCTTCAAAGGGTTGTAGACGCAACGCATGTTTCAAAGACAGCCTCCTTGTAGCGTGTTCAGAAGGAAGGCGCGCGAACGAGGCGTTAGAACAGAACCCGATGGATTTGTGCCGCAACTGAGAAATTAAATGTTTTCAATAAGAAATAGAATCTTTCATCCTGGAAACAAGTACCAGACCGGATTCCAATAGAATAAGTTGTGTTCAGCCCGAGACCAAATGAGTCATATTGTGACCAGTTATTTAGTGAAAATCACACCCGCCTGATTAGTAATTGTGTTTACATTCTAGAAGTGCCTACGTCAAGAAGGAATTTGTTGGAATACGAAAGTCTTAGTGGAATACAATAAATCTAAAGTAGTTCAGAACCTTTTAATTGTTTAAATAGAGTAGCTACAATGAGGATTATACTCACCAACTCTTCTGGTTGTGTGATATCACCCCAGTTCAAAAACTGGTCAGTCTTTTTCAGATAAGCCCTATACATGCGCATGAATGTGTCCTCATCGATGGGATAGGTTTCTCGTTCCTCATCGGACATTTCCAATTGTAATTCGTTGAGAGCGGAGCGAATATTGTTTTCCCCATCACTAAACGGGACCTCTCGGAAACTGCTTTTTGATGCCAAAGCTCGGAATGATGAACGGGACGGTATTCCAGTCATCACACCTTATTCAGACCATCGATCTGAACTAGTTTACACACTCAGCATTTTATCGATCCGGAGCAATTCAAAATGACCGCACACACGGACGTCTGTGGTCAGCTGATAAGTGTGACCCTAGGGCGGCTCCCTAGGACAGGAAAAAATCGCTATACGCTAGCACTATTTTTTGTAACAATCGCATCAGAATGAATCGGTGTGACATGGGAAACACGAAAGTGGTAAAAATAATAATCAATCCGTCAGCTGATTCAAGTTATTCTGGATATATTTCTCTATTCGTCCGCAAGTCTTGTTAGTGCACTATCCGAGTTGAACACTTAATTAAATGCTATTCAACCTCGGACTGTATTATGATTTTCTTACAGAGTTATGAAAAACGTCACGATAGATTGTAATCGAGGCAAGTTATTACACTCGAGGAAAAACCGGAAATATACAGGACACACCGAGCTCGCCAGCACAGAAGATGTTTGGGGTTGATATACTGGAGTAAGTACTAATCCTAACCATTCTCTGGCGCTGATTCAGCTCTTATCAATTCGATAAAGATCACTGTTTGGTGTACAGTGAATTGAACATTCATAATCGAATAACCAGGGCCAAGAGACATGGTCGGAGGGACTTTATGGTGTCCCCTACTGGGCTCTCCTACCACGAAAATTTCAATCAGATGAACTATTTCAACTCTTTCCACTGGATTTCACAGACTCGTACCAACCAACACCAAATTACAAAATAGACTGTTGTAAAACAAAAAACCAGTCATATATATATATAACCGGCTTTTAGAAAAGCGTGGTGCCAACGCCACAACAACATAAAAAATAACAATAATAGGGGGTAGGTGGATTGGGTTACAAAACAAAGTGGAGAGAGGGTGAAACAGTTAAACAAGGGAAAATGGGAGATGGCTAGGATAACAAAATTATTTGGTGTTTCACCGTACATGTTTTGATATTTTTTGTGTTGTTTGTTGTTTTTACGGGGCACAGAATTTCGACAGACAGACCCAACAGCATTCCAGCCACTGATTCCTATTCTTGTTCACATCTCTCAGCGTCTCTAACCAAAGACAATCCTCATCCTTTGGGTCCCAAACTGGAATGGGGGCATCACCAACCGAAGCCAAAGCTGAAGCTTCAGACCTCTACACCGTATCATGGTCTGACCGCCCCGCCGCT